CACTCTAATTAGAGACCAGAAGAAAATAAAAGCAGGGCTCAAGAGGCTATTGAAAACAGAAATGTGAGATGATACAGGTGGCAGAGAAGTAGTAATTTTTGTAACCCAACCTTGGATCAAACAAAGGAATGAGGAAAACTAACTCACACTTTAAGAAATACAAACCTGCCTCAGCTTTTGTAAGAGGAATAGCAGAGACAGAGAAATAGCTGAGACACACTTAAGAGGGGCTGATAGATAGCTGCCGGGGAAACACATGAAGGCCACAATCTTCAAGACACAAAAGCAGAAAAGTACTGAACTCAAATCAAGAGAAATAAGGAAGGAAAATTCCTCTGAGTGTGCTACCCCCCATAATAAAGCACAGCACATGTGCAAGCATCTTAGGACACCTGCACGCCAGAAAGAACCTAAGAAGTTCTCTCTTGAGCAGGAAATGGTCACTAAAAATCAATATATCAATATCACTTAGTTTACAAACACACAAGACTGTTCTTTCCCTTTTGTGGCAATGGAAGTAAATCTACATCTAAGTGTCTGCATATGTGTGTGCCCATGAGAAGGGCCCGAGTCTGTCCCATAGAGACTTTATAAAAAGTTTATAAAAAGTTCACAGAAACAATAAACTTGAGAAACAACAGTCATGTTTAAACTCCCCTCACATTTTCATTTTCCGTGATTCCCCTTTAGTCTGTTTTAACTTCCATTCTCAGGCTTAAATTATCAGAAAACCTCCCCACAATTCATTCCAAGGGCAATTTATTCCTTTTTAGCTGCTAGATGCAGACACAGATCAAGAAACCCTTGAACTTTAAGGAAAGACTACCTCGTGGTTCCTACAACTACTTAAGACTACTGTTCTGCATTTAAATTACAGCTCTTGTTACTGGCGATTGTTTAGCATGCCCATTCCTGGAAACTTGAGGCTTTCTTTCCTTTTTCATACAAACATTAAGAATTTTCACTAACATTTAGGCTGTAAATAACATCTTGCAAACACCACACTGTTCTCCTATGACGTTCTTTGTATTAATTAAGGCTATTCTTCATCCTAATACTACCTTTCAAGGTAAACTCTCATAGAAAAGTCAAAAGTCATTTTGGGTAAATGTTAAGTAATAAATGTTTCATTCCTAAATAATGGGGCCCCTAACAGTATCCCTTGAATAATTATTCATAGTTATTTCTAGTTATAGGAAAGAAAAGCAAGTTTTTAGTATCGGATCTAATACCAAGAAAACATCCAATAACAAGTAAAATGTTGTGTCCGTATACAAGAAAGCTAAGTGTATGTTATGTTCTCCTCTTCCTACCCTCCTATGATAGACATCAGACAGACTACTTAATATTTTTGAAGAAATCTGCACTGAAACCACTGAACCTCATAGAAGAGAAAGTGGGAAATACACCTGAACTCATTGGCACAGAAGATCACTTCCTAAATATAATCCAATAGCCCAACACTGAGAGAAACAATTAATAAATGAAACCTCCTGAAACTGAGAAATTTCTGTAAAGCAAACAACACGGTAAACAAGACAAAACAACAGACTTCAGAATGGGAAAATATCTTCATCAACCCCATATCGGACAGAGGGCTGATCTCCAAATATACAAAGAACTCAAGAAATTGGACACCTAAAGATCACATAATCCAATAAAAAAAATGGAGTATAGACCTAAATAGAGAACTCTCAACAGATGAATCTAAAACAGCTAAAAGACACTTAAGGAAATGCTCAACATCCTTAGTCAACAGAAAAATGCAAATCAAAACAACACTGAGATTCCATCTTACACCTGTAAGAATGGCCAAGATCAAAAACACTGATGACAACTTATTCTGGAGATGATGTGGGGTAAAGGGAACACTCCTGCATTGCTGGTGGGAGTGCAAGCTGGTACAGCCCCTTTGGATGTCCATATGGTGATTTCTCAGAAAATTAGGAAACAACCTTCCTCAATACCCAGCAATACCACTTTTGAGTATATATCCAAAGGATGCTCAATCATAACAACAAGGACATGTGCTAGACTATGTTCATAGCAGCATTATTTGTCATAGTCAGAACCTTAAAAGCAACCTAAATGCCCCCTGACCAAAGAATAGATATAGAAAATGTGGTACATTTACACAATGGAGTAAAACACAGAGGAAGAAAAAAAAATAATGACATCTTGAAATTTGCGAGCAAATGGATGATCTAGAAAACATCATACTGAGTGAGGTAACCCAGACCTAGAAAGACAAATATCATATGTACTCACTCATAAGTGGCTTTTAGATATAAATTAAAGAAAAACTAGCCTACAATTCACAATCCCAGAGAACCTAGACAACAATGAGGACCCTAAGAGAAACATGCATGGATCTAATCTACACAGAAAGTCGAAAAAGACAAGATCTCCTGAGTAAATTGGGACTGTGGGGATTATGGAAGAGGGTAGAAGGGGAGTGGAGAAAAATAAATAGCTCAATAAGAACAATTTAAAAAAAGAACACATTTTTATCTGACTTGTTCCCCCTTAAAATATATTCCTATATCATCAGGTACAGTATGTCTTTAAATGTTAGTCACATTATGTTGTTCCTAAGTTTAAAACCTTACCACTTCTAAAAGGCTAAAATTAAGCATAGTGCACATTGTAAAATCATCAGACACATGAGCCAAGTGTACATCAGTGCATTCATTAAAATGGAGCTCTTCTGATGACCTGCCACACCTCACACACCAGTCTTTCTCTTGTCTCAAGTCACCTTATCAATCCTTTACCATCTCAGGATCATGGCACCTGCTCTCCCTCCTTCTTCAAAGTCTCCTTACAGACTCTCTCCTCATCCTCTTCAGACACTAGCTTCCCTTGACTAACCTTGTTAAAAGAGCAAATCCCTAATTTGTCCTTGCTTGCTTTTTTCTTTTCTTTTATTACCATGTGGTCTGTTTATTCTGATGAGAATGTAAACTAAAACTTAAACTCTCTAGACAGAAATATTTCACTTCTACACTCCAGAGCCTAGAACAACAATCTCTGCACAAGGCAGACACTCAAGATAAAGAGACTAAACAAAAGCTGGAGTAATCTATCTGTTGCTTTTGTTCTACCCTATCCTCATGTAAGCTCCATGAGGACAGGGATTGGTGTCTTCCACTTTTATATCCACCAGCACCTGAAGCAGAACCAAGAGAATGGCTGGCACTCAAGAGAAATATTAATGGACTCAATCGTCTTTATATTCCTTTGCTAGAGAACAGAAAGGAAAGTTCACGTAAGAGCTGAGTATTCTCAACTTCCTGTGTGTCTCTAGAATAACGCAGCCTGATGAGAGCCGACTCATCCAGTTTCACCTGACACAAATGTATACCCACACTTGATAATAACCTGAAGTGCAGGGGAAAATGGCATGGAAAGATGAGTGGGGCAACATTACTGCTTCTTGGATCATTAAAAAAAAAATAGCCGCTTATGGTACAAAATTACCAAAATATAGAATATAAATTTACTTTCATTTTCCAGCATTTTTCTTGGCTTATTAATCAATTATTAAGGTGTTTTTTGCACAGCTTTCATCCTGCACTTCTTGTCCAAATACTGGCACTAATTCCTAACACTGAATCAGGTGACATTTATTTTCCTGGCAAACTGATATAACAAAGGCTTCTTTTGTTTTATTTCTTTCATTCTGACTTTAGTATACTGAAATTAAGAATGGTAAATCGAATAGGGTCGTTTCTAGAACAAACGTAAGACCCTCAAAATGAGGCCCTTGTTTTCAGCAACAAGACCAAACAGACACATTCTGTTGCAGCAATGATGCTATTGTCAGGAACAGAGTAATGACTGCTGACTCCTCCCTGGAGATTAGGACAAAGTCCTTCCAGTCAGCCAAACTAACCAGCGGCCCCTTCACCCTTCCTGTGATTACCCAAGGAAAGTCAGGTCAGCAGTGCTAGACATCCATTTCCTGGCCTCTCTTGAGCTTACTATACTGTGTCAAAACGGACTAGAGTTTGTTTTACATAAGAGCAACTCATCTATAGTGTCATCCAGTTTCACAGATAAATCCACAGGAGGAAACTACCACATCTAAAGACTAAGAGTTATGGTACTCCTTTCAAAATTGGCAGGTTATTTTTAAGATGCAAAGAGATCGCCTCAGAAAAGACTAAATGCTTACTGGCCCAGAGCTGGACTCTAAGATTAGAGGCTGAAACTACAACCATAGTGTCTGCAAATTCTAATATATGCACTGCTTACAAAATCATAATAAAAGGTCTGGAGGACAAGAAAGAGTGTAACAATGCCATCAGCACAGCTATTCCTGGGCAAGAAGCAGCTAGGGGTCCTCTACATCTCCCAGCCCAGAAAGCAAAGCCCAAACAGAGGGTATAATTGACCATAGAAGCTTGAGAGGCAGTTGACAAAAAGGAGACCAAGCATGTTGCTCTGCATGCCTCACCCCAACATTACATAGCAGAGATCTCTAGCCCTCTCAGAATCGGACATGTTAGGGTTCTGCAATGTCTCATATTTATTTTAAAGGTGAAAGGCACTACTTGAAAAATACTGAGGGAAAATAAAAAAATAAAAAAATGCCAGTAAAGTCTTTAGATTCAGGGAGCCCAGAGTTCACATTTTAAATCTGTTGAGATAACAGAAGCAATCATGCATATATACATATGCATATACACACACTAAAAAAATAAAAAATACATAGCTAAGAAGTACAAAAAATGATGTGATGATATGTAGCCTTTTTTCTTTCTTTCTTTCTTTTTTTTTTAAAGCAGATCAGCTCTTTGGCCAAGTATAAAAGCATCTCTTAGAAATTCACTTTGTCCTTTAGGCACTAAAGGCAAGGTACCCAGAAAAACAATAGCTTTCAAACTTCCAGAAACAGTCTTTATGGTCAAGGACCATTAGACACGACTGTGGCACTGCTCTAAACCACACCTGGAAGGGAAGGTGACCACTGCCAGACAGGAAGAAAAGAGGTTCACCTGCTTGATTTTATTCCGCGAGTTAGTGATGCGCTCTGTGATGCTCTGGTAAGTGCGAATGGCTGTTGTCAATTCTGTGTAGTGTTGAACAATCAATTCATCCAGGTCACGGTCACACTTCTCATAGGCTTCTTCAAGGCGACCTTTCTCATTTTCTCTGTCTTCAACATCATCGCTGGTAGACAGAGTCCTGGTGAAAACAGAAATTATAAAGCTGTGTCAAACTTCAAAGCAACAATCTGAAGAACAGTATCCAGTCAATACACTAACTAGTACATTCATACCACAAACAAGGAAATGATGAGTTACCAGAAAATATAAAATGACCTTCAAAGTTCATTCCAACACCCACCTAAGTACATGCACAGGATCCCTAGCCAGAGTCCATTCTTTATCTATTCTCTTGACCCCTGAAATTATTTTAATCAGACAGCAGGTGGGCATGGATATGGAAGGAAGCTGGGTAGTTCTTGATTTGTAAGAATCATGATAATCCCTAACAGGTCCATTCTTCTTACAATTTTGACTAATAAAACCTACAGAACATCTAAAGAAAGGTCCCTTCTCCAGTCCAGGACACTGACACATAGAACTGAGATTCTCACTCTGTCATCTGTGGAAGCAAAAAGCAAGGTAAATGTTACTGCAGCTGTGTCATGGGCCTCATGGAGTCATCCCTGGAGCTGCTCTCTCCTCAAGACTTCTTGTTAGGGGAGATAATAAATATCATTGTTTAATCACTCTAGATGGCCTTCTTTCACATGTGGCTGAAGCGTACTAAGGGATAAAATTTGTCTCACTAAGGAACTACCTTCTAAAGAGTTCATGTGAATGGCCTAAAATTGTAACAGAAGCCCCAGCAGCCTAGGGATAAAGTCATGTTAATTCTAAATCTGTTACAATAGCAGTAACCTAAGCTGTACTACAAGACAGTGCCTGCATTCACTATTCTTCAAACAGCACCAACAAGATTGATAGGAATCAACAATAACCAGACAATGAGATAGGTACGGTTATTAAAAATCTTTCAATAACTCAGTTTGATACATGGGCCACAGATCTTTGTTTCCTCCATTATCTTTCTTGGATAATTTTTTTTAATTTAGTATTATAATAAAGAAACCTTTTTCTCTTATCTGCTCCCTGTGGTAATTTAGAGTTTCATTAAATTCCCTCAGATTTGTCAGCTTATACATTCAGCCTAGTTTATTTCATTTATCTTTTTTAATTTAGGGAGGGGGTATTTTAGGTTCTCAATGATGGATGCAATCAATTATAAGTCCATCATTAGAACTGCTTTCAGAGATGGTCTGTCAGCAAATCAATCACATACCCACTTCCAGATACTTTCGAGCAAAATACTGTACAACGGGCTTCTCCAAACTGTCACTCAGAGCAAGGGGTCTTAATTCATGAGCCACACAATATATAAAACTTCTTTTTCAATTTAGAGGGGAATTCAGGAGGCCTGTCTGTGGCTCCAATGTACCTTCCAAAATGAATTCGGTAAATGTGTTAGGGATGCCAAGAGATCAAGTGTTGCATGAAATGAAACAGTACTGGGAGCTATGAAGGGCAGTGCCAAGCCAGACCCTATTTCCTCATCTTTAAACTCGCGATCCTAAGACAGACAATTTCCAAGGCTGTTTTCAGGTAGAGAGCACACAAGTATTTAACTACTAAAGTAAATCAACTTAGTCTTAAAGGGAAAGCCACAAAATCACCTTCACTATCCGGTTCCGAGTATCTTAGCATGTCTTTCTGTTGTTTTTATGATATATAACTTTGCTCTTTAAATCTGAAAGCTTCCAGGATGTTAATCTAAAGAACAATCAAGAAATGCCTTCTATTTATCAACTGTCCCATTGGTAAGAGTTTCTGGATATTTTACTCAATCCCTTCCACAGTGCTACACAGCATGAGCCTGCCATTTTCACAATGCTTTCCACATTTTCCTTCCTCCTCACACACACACTGCCATTTGTGGACGGAAACATGCCAAACATCTCACACTGTTTACCTTAACTAGTCAGAATTACCATTAAGGAAAATGTCAGGCCCAGGGAGGACACCTTCTCCGGCAGGATCTGTCACTGTAATGCATTACTGGATCATTAGGAGTTACTTAGGAAAGAGAAAGGGTTACTAAAACGAAGATTAGGAGTAAATTGAGTCCACGGGGGATCTTTTCTCCTATTTTCATTTCCAGAGGAAATATTTATATAAGAAATATCCTGTGCCAAGTTTGACTCACGCTAAAAGTTCATCCTCTTCCTTTTGATGGAACCTGGGATGAATGACAGTTTGTCTTTAGTCAAACACATATTCTAAAACTCTAAAAATACAAACTGTTACAGTATTTTTTTAATTAGTAAAGAAAAAGGCAGTAAGATAATGAAAATAATAAAGACCTCTAAAATTTAAAGAGGCTAACACATGCCAGAAAGCAGCTTTACTCGGCATTGTATCGAACACATGCCCACTCCTGCTGGAGAGGAGCCTGTCGTTATCTTCTGGCCCCCTTTCCACACTAGAAGCAGCTAACCTTGAAGAGATTAATTTGCCCCCTCACACAACAAGAATAAGAGATCCTAGAAGGATTGAAAACCCAAGTCGGTCTGTTTATAGAGTAGGTTTTAAACAACTGTAGAGTAATTAAAATCTGTCTCTGCACTCTAACTACCTAGGTTGAACTTCTTACTCCAACACGCCTACTACCTATCCAGTTTCATAGTGTGGAAGTCTGCATATGCCGCCGTGTCAATGTGAAAAGGCGCGGGGCTTTGAAGCCTACTTCCAAACAGAAAGAGGTATTATATATCACAAAACAGGCAAATTATTTTAAACAATTTTCTCGGGTTTTGGTTTGGAGCAATTTCTATCTTTGTTTTGAGGGCGTTTTTTGTTTTCATTTTCTAATACAGTGGCTTGCTGTGCAGCTCAAACTGACCCACCAATCACTGTAGCCTTCAAGGCTTGTATGATTGTCCTGCCTCTGCCTCCCAAGTGTTAACATACAAGCACCACCACACCTGGTACTACAATGCAGTTTTAGTGAAAAAATGATCTACGATTTGGTGGACAGTCGGTGCTGATGAGACATATTTCATATGTGAAATGTCAATACTAAGCCCAGAAATGTACGCATTAGCCATTGCCCTGTGTCCAGCACATGGGGAAGGAGATAAATGTGAAGCCTGAGGTACAAACAGAAGCAATGCAGTGGTCACACAGTAAGCACATAATGAGTTGCTATTTTTCCTGTCTCAATAACAAACTGAGAATTTCACCCTAATCGTGTAAAAGCTCACCTAGAAAGAGAGAGAGAGAGAGAGAGAGAGAGAGAGAGAGAGAGAGAGAGAGAGAGAGAGAGCGCGCACTGGGTAATGATGACACACACCTTTAATGTAAGAAAAAGATGAAAAGATGAACATGAGGCCCTACAGGTTTCTCTTTGAAGGGGGCAGGAGGAGAAGGGGCAAGGAGGAGAGAGTATTCAAAACAGGGTTTTCCTGTGCATCTCTAGTTATCCTGGAACTCATTCTCCACAGAGTGCCCTAGAACTCACAGGGATCTGTTTGTCTCTGCCACCTGGGTGCTGGGATTAAAGGCATGAGCCACCACTGGTTGTTTTGGTTTGGTTTGGTTTTTTTCAGGACAAGATTTCTCTGGCTAACTCGCTCTGTAGAGCAGGCTGGCCATGAATGCAGAGATCCGCCTGCCTATGTCCCCTAAGTGCTGGGATTAAAAGCGTGTGTCACCACTACCCAGTTCTTTTCTTTTTAAGAAATGCTGCTGGACATGACAAAAAGGTTAAAAAAAAAAAGAGAGAGAGAGAGAACAACAGAAATAAATAGGCAGAAGCAAAGGATAATAATGTAAAATTGACACTCCAAGAAGCATTCAAATTACACAACCACTCTTTAGATTTTAGATTTTGCCCCTACTTCATGTAAATCTTGATTATGATTTACAAACTGCTGCAGAGTTCACACTGGAACACAAAGGGATAAACTAGTTTGCAGTGAAACTGGACACGGAGACATTACTAAGACAGCTCTGGTATTTTACATGATGAATTGCATCTCTATCCACGACTAATTAATCTCCAGGAAGGCATGTGTTCACCTAACAGGCTAAAGGTCCACCAAATCTTTCTAGCAGGAACAGGATGGTAGATGGTGCCAGGGGATTCACAAGCCACCAGCTCCCAATGAGTCCCACAGACAAGCATTAAAACATGGGATAAAGATATGAAGACTGAAAGTAGAATTCATTCATTTCTTTTCTTTTAAATAGTAGCTTCAGTCTTTCAGTTGGTCAATCAAATGTTGTAAAAGAAAAATAAGCACCCACGGTCAGCAATCCCTTCTACAGAGCAATCCTGTTCTCACTTTGGACTTTAATAGAGTAATGGAGTCCAGACAGAACAAGAGTATAAAAGTCAATGCCGTGGTTTTAAAAGATCAATGGAAGTGCAAACAGAGGAAAGCGCACCTATGAAAATCTGGTTGTTCACTAAGACAGCCCATCACTCACCGAAGCTAGAACTTTTGATCAAAAACAGAGAAAAAGAATATAAGAAGAAAACAACCAAACCCAGCCTGCTGCAGGAATGCAGCAAACCCTTCTTAGGACACTCAGCAGGTATGTCACATAGAGGCATTCGGGGTTTGCAGAAGGAGCTGGTGGGACAGCACTTGACCAGCATGTGCAGGGTCCTGGGTTCAAAAATGGCCTCTTCCAGCAAGGGTACAAAATGGAGGGATGTGAATCACACCTCTGTAAAGACACCCTCTGTGGGGAAGCTGTTCTAGAAGATGCATGGGCCATGCAGGAGAAAGAATTCAAACTGTTCAAAGTCTGGCAAGGAGATCGTTGTGGGTACTGACTGGTTGTGCGGCAGTGACAGGAGAGGAGGGTAGGAGGCACTGGACACAGGTCTGTGGGCTTCTCTCTGGGTGGTCACTGGAGCCACTGGGTGGTGGTAACTTATCAGACAGTGTTTTAGTGGTAATAGCAAGTAACCACATTTACACTGGTTTCATTTTAATTATATCTCATCTCTTTCAAAAAAACAAATATCAGAGATGTTTTATCTAAGAATATAGTAAAATATACAGACTATCATTATATAAATATAAAATATAAACAGGTCACATGGCCACAGAATTCATAGTAAATGAGTTC